AAAAGCTCAGAATTAGGCTCAGGTTTTTCACTAAATACTTCTGTTACATTTAGATCCAACATGTCTGGAGGTGACAGTTCATTCTGTTGCAGCTTTGATACTCCTGCTGCTGGGATGGCATGTGAGCCTGAACATTCCTTCCTGCTAACTACAGGCCAGTCCACACCGCAAACTTCAGAGGTAACAGCTGAATGACATTCTTCTCCTGCAGCTGCTCCATAAATGGGAGCATACAGTTCTTCCTCCATAGTCAGGCACCCAGGATCTATAACACAAATGCTATAAAATTTGCTCTCTTGTGAATTCTTACATTGTTTGTCACCAACATAAATAGGGCTTTCATCTTGCAACTCCCTATGGGATGCATCTAAAAAGTTATCATCATTAAAACTGATTTGAGCATATACCACACTTTCTTTCTCTACTAGAGAGTTTTTACAAGTGGCCATGTAACAGCATAGATGGTCACTTGAAGTTTTCTCCTGTTGGGCCTGGTCAGAACACACCGGCAAATGTGAGAGACACTGGTCCTCTTCAGAACAACACTGTCTGTCACTATTTATGCCACAGACATGATCAGAACTCTGCTCAATAACAGCAATATCTGAATTCCTATAACTTTCACCTAAACTTTCATATCTAGTGAACAACTTAGATGTTGAAGAGGAAATAGAATTCAATGACTGCTTTCGTCCATAATCTTGTTTGTGCCCAGGCCTTGAAAAAATTCTAGTCCACATATTAACACCAACAGCTGCTCTGCTAGTTCGATTTTCAACATTGTGAAGCTCCTCACCGTCAAGGGTATCAAATAATGAAGATAAAGTTTTACTTATCTTGTTTTCCGATTCCTTCTTCTCCACAGATTTTTGTAACAGGCCCATTTTCTCATTGTCATTGTCACTACTTAATTCTTTGCTGAAGCAACAACCCATGTTCAAAAGTTCAGAAACTCACATTATAATGCTTGTCCTTTTCTGTCTGAGACTACAAATACATCTCACACTAACTTGCTATGGTTTCTGAGGAGAGGCCAACACCCAGATCTCAAAAATAACTCCTTGCATAGCAGTCACATGTTCCTGCCACTCAAATCCAAATTCTAATGACAACAGAGTCCTGCCTGACAACTATCATACTCCTTGTGCTGAAATCCAAGTAGTACATGGAATCCAAAGGTTCAAAACAGCTGCAAAATACAGCTATTATCAGCTATTATCATATTTTCCTAAGTGTAATGAAAAGATTTATAGTATTAGTAACTAATTTGTAACTAGATATTTGTAAATGATTTTCTAGCTTCAAAAAATACTATCTGTATTAAGGAATTATTCCTAATTTTGTAAAGAATGAAAATGAAATGGTGCTAGTTAGAAATACATTTTGAAGCACCTGTGATGAAATGACAGATTATCTAGAGTTTGCTTTTAAATACTTCAGAAAATAAAGTAAATGTACTGAAACATAAACAACTGTGTATGTTGGAGAAAGAAACAATGGAACAAGAACACCTAATATGAGGGTGGGGAATTGCTCAAGTTCATGTTGGGTACACTGGAGTTCATTTTATTATTCTCTCTGCTCTGCAGATGCCTGAAAATTACAACAAAGACAAAAGGAAAGAACAAGAGAAAAAAATCTACACCCACTAGTACTCATAATAGGAGCACTTCCAAAAGCATCATATACTGCTGAATGGATAACCTGCAAGATCAATATTGTACAAAAAAGTAGGTAGCAGATGTCATTTGTACATATATAAAAAGGGGATTTTCCTAGAAATTCAAGTTTTCTTATCACTACACTGCTATTATTCAAAATTATTAAGCATTCATTCAAAAATTGTAATCAAAAGGCAAAAGGACATATTTTTGTTTGTTGTCCATTTTGTTTCAGTGAAACTGAGGATCAAACAAACCTAGGACCTGTTCATGCAAGCCAGTGCTCTGCCACTGAGCTATAGCTCCAGCCAAAGATATTTTTTTAGTGTAATAAGTGGTAAAACATTTTCTGACATAGTTCAGGTTTAACTGAGTTGTCTACAGAGAAGTTAATATACATAAGAGTCAGGTTTTCAATTTAAGATTAGAAGTTATACATTTTGATTAGAAAAGAAATGGCATAACCCCCTATCTTCCTTCCCAGAAGGTAATTTAACACAAACTCTCTACACCTAGGACTATTTGTAGCTTAAAGATCACACCCATACTCCTTACTCTTCTCTTCTTTTTTCATTTATGATAAAATGCAATAATCATTAGAATGGAAAATGGCTCTGAAGCCAAAGCTGTTACTCTAAGGAAATCAAGCAACTTGGCTCCAAAGTGTGCAGCAGGGTTTAGAATATGGAGTCCTCAAATGGGCTTTAGCTGGAAAATCTTTTGACATTTATCTTTGCTACAGATGGAACCTGTAGTTCTAATAGTTAAAGAACTGTTAACTTAGTAACACCACTTCCAAATGTCAAGTCACTAGGTAATATCTTTTTTCTACAGAGCAGCAGAAGTGACCCACTGTCAAAAGTAGCTGTCTCTCTACCTCCAACACCTTCAAAACCTTCTTAATCCCTTTCCTTTTCCCTTGCTGCCCTCCTCCCCCAGGGCAGGGGGATACGTGGAGTCGTTCTGGGGCTTGAATTCAGAGTCTAGGAGCTCTGAGCCTCTAGAAGCCTCAGATTTTTTTTCTTTTTCCTTTTTTTTTGCTCAAGGCTAGCACTCTACCATTTGAGCCATAGCTCCACTTCCAGCTTTTTGGTGGTTAACTGAATATGAGTTTCATACTTTCCTGCCCAGACAGGCATTTAAACCAGATCTCAGCCTCCCAAATAGTCAGGTTTCTAGATGTGAGCCATTGGCACCCAGCAAATCCCTTTCTTGGTTGTACTATCCTTCCTCTTAGCACTGAATCAAGGTATCAGGCAGAATGTCATTGTCTAGGCCATATCTGGTACTCTCCTATTGCTGACCACTGAAATCTAGCTCTTGCTTATTACAGCATCCGTTGGAGCTGCTTTCACTAAGGTCACAACTAAAGGTCAAATCAATCGTTCCTAGTTTACTTCACTTCTGTTGGCCACTTTCTTTATACATTTGTCTCTTGCGTTCTGCCCATCTCTATCATCACTCTCCTTTTCTATTTTCCTCCCAGTTTCTAAAATATTGGGAAGCTCCAGAGTTTCATTTTTCCTGTGTGCAAATGCATAGAAATGTAATGCAAATTTAGCATGTTAACTTTATTAATCCAATATACTTCAAACCAAAGCCCTTTATTGTGTCAAGTCTAGAACATTCAAAAAGACACTCCTTTGCTACGGACAAAATAGAAGATTACTGTCAGGTTCTGGTGGCTCACACCTGTAATCCACGCTACTCAGGACACTGAGATCCGAGGATCAGAGCCAGCCCGGGCAAGAAAGTCTGTGAGACCTTATCTCCAATAAATTACTCAGAAAATGCCAGAAGCGGCACTGTGGCTGAAGTGGTATACTGCTAGCCTTGAGCAAAAACAGCTCAAGGACAGGGCACAAGTCTTTGAGTTCAAGCCCTAGGACTGGCTCAAAAGAAAAAAAAAAAGATTCATTCTTCTGTGGACACAACTATATCACAATGCCTCCTAACTCCTTATCTATAATTATTTTTGTATTGACGGTTTACATAAAATTTGGTAATACAACTTTGCAGATTATATTAGGAGTAGTAATAATACTTATGAATTCATGTTCATTTTTGAACCATCTCTATAGAAAGTGCCTTAGCTGTTTTTTAGCACTTACACTCTGATTTGCTGAATGAATAAAACCTCAAACTTGACTGAGAAGATTAATTACCTGCCTGTTAAACATAAAGCATATGCTAGATACAAAGTAAACAAAGGACACAAGGGAAAACAGATTACCCAAGGCTAGAGAAGGAAGAGTTCAACTGTAAATGAGCAAGAAAACAGAATGAAAATGTTCTGAAACAAGGCCACTTGTACATATCTAAAATCCAAGCTATTTGGGGGACTACGGTAAAATGATTTCAAGTTCAAGACCATATATGATAAGACCCCATCTTACAGCCTCCTTCAAAATAAATGTCTACATCAACATTACAGGTGATGAATATACAACTCAGCAGCAAAATTCTCAACTTTAAATCTAATATAAATAACAAAATGATGAAATATAAGTTTGGATATTCTTTCACTTAAAAATATACTTTATTGGGCTGGGAAGGTGGCTCAGTGGTAGAGCGCTTGCCTTGCATGCCTGAGACCCTGGGTTCGATTCCTCAGCACCACATAAGCAAAAAGAAAAAAGCCGGAAGTGGCGCTGTGGCTCAAGTGGTAGAGCGCTAGCCTTGAGCTGAAGAGCTGAGGGACAGCGCCCAGGCCCAGAGTTCAAGCCCCACGACCGGATCCAAAAAATATATATATATATACTTTATTAAGAGTAAATGAAAAGAGTTAGCTCCTTGGTTCAAGGGGTAAAGCGTTATCTCAGCAAATATAAGGCCCTGAGCTCAACCCCAGGAGTCCTCTCTCCTGCCAAAAGAGTAAGTGAATTATTCCTCTCTTTGAATTTCTACATGAAATTCTTAGATGGTGCTTACTACAAGTTATGAAAAAGCTGTAAGATACTTAAAAGGTAATCAAACTGAATAAATTTGGAATACTTCAGCTCTACTGCATACATACAAATGATGAAATGCAGGATTAAAAATTATATATAGTTGCCCATGCAATTGTAACCCCTCTGTACAGTATGTTCACAAATAAAATAAAATTAAATTAAAAAAAATTATATATAGTGTGTATGTATATATATAAAATTTGTGAGCTGTGTGTTTTCAAACACTCAAGAGTGTTTAAAAAGAATACAGTATTGACACGCTCTGTACCCTGGACACAGTGGTGAATGGATCCTCTCCACTTTTGAGAAACATCTACTTTTTTAACTTTTTCACAACAAGCATTATTGTAAGTAAGGAGCTACCTATGAACCTAAGCTATGAAATTACCTGACTCAAAGCTGGGATGGAACTTGTTTGGGAAGTGGTTTGAGATATCGGACCATTCATCTGTAAAATTAAAAACATCCAAACACTGTAACTACAATATTAAGAAAACATAATCTCAACCAGTCATTAAGCAAAACAAAATTTACTGAAAAATATACTTTTACACTAAAAAAAAGCATGAATATATTCACAAGAATATAGAAATTTTACAATAGATAAAATTTAAATAACAGGTATTTTCATTTTCACAAAGCCATTTAGAAATTTTGAATATTATTACTTGACAGGATAAATTATAAAATGAATGAAGGCAGTCAAAATTAAATGTGGATAATATGAATAAAAAGCTTAATTAACTCTTTATACTTTAATGGTTGTAATCTTTGTGAAGTGTTTATAAATTGTTACTACATTCTCTTGATTTAAAATAGAAAGCTTTAGTCAGGTACCAAGCTCCCTGGAACTGTGATCCAAAGGATCACAGTTTAAGAGCAGCCTGGACAAAAAACTTTGAGAGACCCCTTTCTCAACTCATAGCTGGTGTGGTGGTATGTGCCTGTTATACTAACTGTAGAAGGCAGATCTCAGTTCCAGGCTAACCACAGCAGAAAACTTCACATCCATCTTAACAGTGAGTGAGTGAGTGTGTGTGTGTGTGTGCGCGCGCACGTGCACGCTAGTCATCTCAGCTACAAAAGGAAGAAACTGGGCATGGGTCTGTGTGTGTGTGTGTGTGTGTGCGCACTAGTCATCTCAGCTACAAAAGGAAGAAACTGGGCATGGGTCTGTGTGTGTGTGTGTGTGTGTGTGCACTAGTCATCTCAGCTACAAAAGGAAGCCTAAATGAAGTAGATCTAGTCTAGGACAATGCTAGGGCAGAAAGTGACACTAATCTAAAAAATAACCAGCTCAAAGAGGCTAGAGATGTGGCTCAGTGGTAGGACATCTGCCTAACCAATACAATGTCTGAGTCAAACCCCAGTGCTGCCAAAAATAGATAAAACACAAAGCTTTTAAAGAATCTACAGAGTTATAGATACCTTGTTTTTCCTCTGACCGAAAGCTTGTAGTAAGCTGCTCAAATATTTTTTCAGTCTAACAAGGTTCAAAACACAGCAGCCCAAATACCACACGTTGGTATATGAGAAAAACAAATTTACCAGATCATAGGAACAGTAAGGATTTTCTTCCTCACAGCCTCCAAAAATGGACCATAATTCCTAGTTGTCTTTCTCTTAAATATGGCTCCTAATGCCCTTATTCCAGCGGGGCCTGCTCAATCCTCAAGGAAAGTACTGTCACATACAGGTGCTTCTCTCAGTTTATTACCATTAGATATTGCCCTCTATTTCTCTACATGCTTTTCCAAAAGTGCAAACACTTATGTATCAGAGTCTTCATTTCTGAAGGCTCCTGTGTTACATTAACACACCTTACTAAATAAATGTGTTCATTTTTCTCTTATTCACCTGTCTTGTGTTATGGAGGCTCTAAGCCATGAACCTCACTTCAGATAGGTGAGACCACCTTCTTCCTCTGAGAAACTGTATTATTTATATGCAAGACCAAAAACATTTTATTGCTTTGAACTTAAATCCTGCTATACTTTATCAGAGAAGAAACTGGTGCCTTGCCCGTCCCCTCTGACAACACCTACCAGATGAGAGCTGTCCTTGCCCTCTTGGACTCGCTGCGCCTGCGGTTCAGCCACAACTTTAGTGTCCTGATCAGAAGTCATGAGCTCCACTGGACAAAGATGAATGCTAACTTCAGGATGCTGCAACACAGCAAACAGTAAAATAGGTCATGAGGGATACAGTATATCACTGATTCTAGAAATAATATTTGGCCCTTAAGTTTCTTCTCCACACCAATTTGATGGCAATGATGATACTGGAAACCTTAGTGCAACTGTACTAACACACACAAAAAAACCTACTATCAAGGATGAGGGGCATGGATCAAGTGGCAGAGTGCTTGCCTAGCAAGCACAGGGACCCCGAGTTCAAACCATATGAAAAAAAGTCTTCATCGGGGCTGGGAAGGTGGCTGAGTGGTAGAGTGCTGGCCTACCATGCATGAAGCCCTGGGTTCGATTCCTCAGTACCACATAAACAGAAAAAGCCAGAAGTGGAGCTGAGGCTCAAGTGGTAGAGTGCTAGCCTTGAGCAAAAGAAGCTCAGGGACAGTGCCTAGGCCCTCAGTTCAAGCCCCAGAACTGCCAAAAAAAAAGTAGTCATCAAAGAAAAATCTACTCAGATAATTAAGGGGTTAACACCAAAAATTTATGAAAAATTTCTACCATACCAAAAACCTACTTTGAAAATAGTCAAATTATCTGAATATTTTCCCCAAAGAAGATATATGCAAGTAGGTATCCACAGATACCTAATAACTAATGTCACATTATTATTATTATCATTACATCATCATTATTATCACTCTACTGGGTTTGAACTCAGTCTTACACTCTCTAGGCAGGTGCTGTATTACTTGGGCCACACCCCAAGTCCTTTTTCCTTTGGTTATTTATATTTTTGTTTTTTTGTTTGTTTATTTGTCTTTTGGTTGGTCACGGGGCTTGAACTCTGGGCCTAGGCGCTGTCTCTGAGCTCTTCAGCTAAAGGTGAGCCATAGCACTACTTCTGGTTTTCTGATGGTTATTTGGAGATAGTCTCACGAACTTTCTGGCCCAGGATGGCTCTGTACCATGATCCTCGGATCTCAGCCTCCTAAGTAGCTAGGCGTAAGCCATTAGTGTCCACCTTCTTTTGGTTGTTTTTAAGTGGGGTTTTGCCTTTATGCTCAAACTGGCCCAGATTGTGACCCTCCAATTTATACTTTCTAGATATCTAGAATGGCAAGTGTATGTCACCACGTTCAAATTTTTGTTTGCTGAGATGTACTCTTTCTCACTTTTTGCCTACACTTCCTTGCAACTACAGTCCTCCCAATCTTTGCCTTAGAAGTTGCTGGGGTTACAGGGTGAACCACTGCACCTGGCTTAATATCACTAATTATTAGGCAAAGACAAATCAAAACCACAATAAGATACCACATCACACTTGTGGAGAAAAAAGGGAAGCCTGTATATACTGCTGGTGGTTAACTGGAGATAAGAGTCTCAGACTTTTCTGCCTGGGATGGCTTCAAACCACCATCTTCAGATCTCAGCCTTCTGACTAGCTAGGATTACAGGGATGAGCCACAGGTCTAGGACCCTATGAGACTCTTACGTCCAATTAATCATGAGAAAGTTGGATGTGGAACTGTAGCTCAAGAAGTTGAGCACTAGCCTTGAGACAAAAAAAAACTAAGAGAGAACATCCAGGCTCAAAGTTGAAGCCATAAGACTGGCTTTAAGCCTTAAAACTTTAATATACACATATACAAACACACGAGGGGAGAGAAGATGGGAAAATACAGGTCAAAAGAGGCACAAAATTTCAGACATAAGCCAGGCCTGGATGGCTCATGCCTAGAATCCTAGCTATTCAGGAGGCTGAAATCTGAGGATCACAGTTTGAAACCAACCTGGGTAGGAAAGTCCTTATGACTCTTATCTCCCACATTAAGCATCAAAAAAGCTACAAGTGGAGTTGTAGCTCAAATGGTAGAGTTGCCAGCCTTGAGCAAAAAGCTCAGGGACACCACCCAGGCCCTGAGTTCAAGCTTCAGAACCAGCACGCGTGCACACGTACACACACACACACACAAAACCACAAAAAAAACACACACATATATTTGAGAAATAAGCCTAGTGATCTAACATGTAACATGAGCACTACTTGTTGCATTACATTCTGGAAATTTGCTAAGAAAGATTTTAGGTTTTGTTGTACACACAAAAAGCAGGTAACAAATCAAGATGATGGATATATTGAATTGACTACAGTAACTATTTCACTTTATCAAATACATAGTATACCTTACATACTACAAAACTTCAGAAAAGCAAATCAAAACATATATATTCAAAATACATTCAGAAATCAAAACATACAGTTTTTGATGTTTTCCAAATTTGTATATATAGTTTTTGACTGGCTCCATTAGTTTTATTTTGTTCAAGGACAAAAGTTGTCAGGACAAATAAACAGTAATTCAAAAACAATCACTTTACAATGTCTAGACACAGAACTTCACATAAAACACTTCTTTTAATTTCCCCAAATCACTTACAAAGGGATAACTCTTCTAATTCTCTATCATAAGGATTCTTACATCTTCCTTTTAAGGCATTTCTTCTTCTTACTGCACATTACACTACTTCACAAACAAGATAAAGAGTTCAACTTTAACCCAGATATATTTTCAGATTCCTCTGAACACAATTATCAAAAGGCCAAAAAAAGGAGTTTCAAAACATAACTTTTTTATGTTGGTAACCAAAGATGTTTTTTCCATTTCTATAAGGCTGCTCTTCCCTATTTTCAACATTACACACAATATCATGAAAACTTGCTAATGAAATAATATGGTGATCAAAGGCAATCTCCTCCAATTGTCAAAACAGTCTCAATCACAAAAACACAAAACATTCAAATGCTGTAAAATACATCTGAAAATGTAAACTACCAGAAAAGAAATGAAGAAATTAAGCTTTAGATTGTCTTTTAAAATGTGGAAATAATGGCAAATATGCTAAATTTGAAGTTTTATATTTATGTGCATCTTTTCTTTATGTGTACTTAGTACCAATGTCTTATTAAACTAAGTAAACATATAATTCCATTTAAAGAAATACATTAGGCAATAGTAAAAATGCTATTAAAACAGCAAAAATCTGCTGGGTGCCAGTGGCTCATGCCTGTAATTAGCTACTCAGGAGGCTGAAATTTGAGGATTGCAGTTCAAAACCAGCCCAGGCAGGAAAGGCCATGAGACTCTTTATCTCCAATAAACCACCAGAAAACCAGAAGTGAAGCTGTGGCTCAAGTGGCAGAGCGTCAGCCTTGAGCTGAAGAGCTCAGAGACAGCGCCCAGACGCACAGTTCAAGCCCCATGACTGACCAAAAAAAAAACCCAAAACAGCAAAAACCTTGAAAGAATGTGACTGACCTTGAAAAAACAAATTTAAGAATATCTGATTCTAAGCTGGGTGCTGGTTGCTCACATCTATAATCCTAGCTACTCAGGAGGCTAAGATCTGAGGATCATCATGGTTCAAAACCAATCAGGGCAGGAAAGTCCATGAGACTCTTATCTCCAATTAACCACCAGAAAACTAGAAGTGGTGCAAGGGCTCAGAATGGTAGAGCACTAGCCTTGAAGGGCAAAAATTCAGAGACAGTCTCTGGGCCCTGAGTTCAAGCCCCATGACTGACAAAAAAGAAAGGGAGGGAAGAGGCAAGAGAGAGGAAAGAGGGAGGGGGAGAGAGGGAGAGGAGGAGAAGGGGAAAGAGGAAGACAGGGAGACAGACAATTTGGTTCTCAGTCCTTGGAATTACTGAAAAATGATTAGAGGAAACTGATTTTATAGTTTTGTAGATTAGACATATATTTCACATGAAGATGACTCTGAAATACCTGAGCAAAGGATCATTACCAAACTTTCTACCATCTGCCTCCAGATGATAAAACGGTACACAGGAAGTACAGCTGTTTGGGAACAGATGGACTTAAGTTAGGTAAGGAACTACATGCTACTCTGGGCACTAGTGGCTCATTCCTATAATCCTAGGTATTCAGAAGGCTGAGATCTGAGAATCAAGGTTCAAAGCCAGCCAGGAAGCTGAGCTGTGGCTCAAATGGTAGAATTCCTGCGTTGAACAAAAAAAGCTAAGGAACAGCACCCAGGCCCTGTGTTCAAGCCCCAGTACTGGCACGAGAGAGAGACACACACAAAGAGAGAGAGAGAGGAGAGAGAAGAGGGAAGAGAAAAGAGAGAAGAGAGAAGAGAGAGAAGAGAGAAGAGAGAAGAAGGGAGAAGGGAGAAGGGAGAAGAAAGAGAGAGGGAGGAACCTATCTTTTAAACATACATAATGAAATGTTCACAGAGGAAATGACACGTAGAATTTTCCCCCAAATAATAGGTGGAACAGAAGTTTATAACTATTCAGTTTGGAGGCTGTTCTATTTCATCCACTTCTGGGCTTTGAAATTTTCAATAGTAAAAGGCTTAAAAGGCAATTATAACAAGTGTTAGCATGACAGGGATCCTGATTTGATCAATCAGTATCCTTTCCATAAAGAAAATATTTTGGGGGGCTGGGAAGGTGGCTCAGTGGTAGAGCTCTTGCCTTGCCCTGGGTTCGATTCCTCAGCACCACATAAGCAAAAAGAAAAAAGCCGGAAGTGGCGCTGTGGCTCAAGTGGTAGAGTGCTAGCCTTGAGCTGAAGAGCTGAGGGACAACGCCCAGGCCCAGAGTTCAGGCCCCACGACTGGACCCCCCCCTCAAGAAAAAAAAAAGAAAATACTTTTGGAAGGTCTACTGAAATGTGAACTTAGGGCCTTGCTTCTGCAAGGCAGGTGCACTACCACTGGAGCCATGTCCCAAGCTCATTTTCCCTTTAGTTATTTTGTAGATGGAGTCTCATGCTTGTGCCCAGGCTAGCCTGGACTGCAATCCTATTTACTCATCCTGTGTATCAAGGATTATAATTATATATTACATGCACAACTTATTGGGTGAGTTGGGGGGACATGGTTTTGCCTTTTATCCCCAAGATTTTATCTTCAAGATAATCAGCACAAGAGATGTGGAGGCATGGTTCAAGTGGCAGAGCATCAGCCTAGCAGGTTGAAGGCCCTGAGTTAAAATCCTAATATTG